TATATGACAAACACTTAGTTGACATTTGACTTTAAATTTGGGTTCTTTTACTAGTTATGTTTAGTGTGACTTTAGCACGTCTCTAAATCCCAGTAAGGGAGGGATGTAATATCCTATGTTATCACGTGGGGGACACGTGACAGGTGGACGGATATAAAGTAGAGAACATGGAGACTCGAGAATAAAACTAGCTTGTATATTTGATGTTCAAAGAGAATATTATAGCCAGGGGTTACATTGACTGGTGCATAAGAAACAAAGACAAAGTACATAAGTGTTTTATGGACCTGAGACCGCCCTTATTGCCAGAGGCGAAGCCGAGGGCAACAACAGTGGTCGAGTAATATACCCTGGGCTTATACCATGGGGGGGGGTCTCATATACAGTGGGGGCTTATATACGGACAACATTTGGTGTTAGTATTAAATTTTATTGTACCTGTAAACTATATTGTGAACAGTCTTAGTCAAAACATGTTGGCAAACATATTGAAAAATAAAGGTTATGAACATTTAAACATTTTTTGCATGAATTTTATATAGAGAGACAGATGCCAGGGAGGCATCAGTCAGAGTAAAATAATGTAGAAAAATTTACAAGACTAGAAGTGATGATCATTCCCACGCTGTATGGTTAAAACAAAGAAAAGAAGGGATATGTATTACTAAAATGTAAACAATATTCTTGGGACCGCTTCAAACAAATCTACGAACCTGAAATTCGCAATATCTTGACCTTGATCTTGGGCAGCATTCAACGCTTTTCCCTTCGCTTTGATCTTTTGACAGCATCGACTGTTTAGCTCCTTTAATTTTATTAAATATTTAATATTCATGTTCATTATTCATATCCAAGCTTTAATATTCATATCGTCTTCGCAAAGATTTACCATAACATAGCTATTATAACGCTGGAATACGCTGTTGAATGCGATTCAAATTCAAAACTTTTTGAAATGGACGCCAAAGAACGCACAATAACCAACGGTTTATCAGACAAAACATGATGATGTCCATAAAAGGGCATAATTGGAAAAGCTCGCTTTGAGTTCGGTAAAAAATAGTACCAACATGCTTTGCGTGCCGCGACTTTTTGCCTGCCGCCATGCTTGCAAATATTCAAATTGTTTGTTTCTTTATCGCTGGAATGTTTGAATTTTATCATCGATATAGTGTTCTCAACGCAGGAATACTTAAAGATTAAATCAAGCAAGGTATGTATTACTTCAATTGCTATTTATTTCCTAAGAAGAGAGAGTACAATCTCAGGACTATATTGCAACGGATTCGAAGCTGGTTTACACCTCATGTAATAAATACATGAGAAAAATGTTGTCTTGAGTTAACAATTTCACAGGATTGGCCTCTCTGCAACTGATTCATTTCTTACAAAGTCACAAAATTTCCCTCGCTTGACAGCTTTTTGATAGTGTAGAATTTATAACAGGATTTGTTTGGGGTCTTGGGCATGTCCCTTGATTGAAGTCATTGAACTTAATATTGAATTATGAATGTTGAAGCAGTTTGCACATGGTCTAAGAATAGGCTTTTTACAGGCATTGCAAATGGAGGAGTTGATCCCTACATGTAGCTTCAAATATGTACCTTGGTCATTTTAACCTCATTCGTATGGACTGTTCAAAATTCGAAGTGACTAGATGACCGGCAGCCGGCTATCTAATAAACTGCCGGTGTCACAGGAAATTCCCCCCCCCCAAAAAAACAAATCCCCCCGGCCAAATTTCCTAGGAAATATCCCCCCCCCCCGCTTCGGAGATTTGGCCCCCTCTAAAAAATTATAGTTTACTTTATCTTTTAGCTCGGAAATCGCAAAGCTTCTACTAAAACCAAATTTCTAGAAATTTTTCTCAACATTTATAGTTAGTTTGCATATATTTTTTGTGTCAAAACAAAATTCTCCAGTGAATTGCAATACTGACGAGAATTAGGCCAAGAGAATTGCTTACAACACTGACAGATTTTATGTATAGCTGCTGCATGCATAGACGGATTTTCATATTTTTTACTGGGGTGATGCCAGAAATTTTAGGGGGGTGAGCCGTGAGCAGGTGACTGAAGCAACATAAAGTGTCACCAAACCCCAGTAAGGTCTATATTCTAGGGGTGGAGCACTAGAGCCGCAAGGGGGAGTCGTGAGAGCAGAAAACAAAGTATCCCTGGAAAAGTTTGAAAAAAATCATGATTTCTAGCTTTAAAAAAAAGTTTTTTGAAGTTGTCATATCAATTGATTTGGCATGTCCGATTGTCTGTTGAGACTTGAGAGAGTTAAAGTTAAATGAACCTGTAAAAGTGTAAACCCAATAGGCCAATACACAATATGCTTTTACTTTTATAAACTCATTGACATTGTGTCATTTGAATCCGAGTACAATTTATGATGCAACTCCGATGTAAATAATATTTGAGGCGTAAGGATTAAATCTAGGCAAGTCTATTTCCTAAAAGAATTAAAAACTAAAAACAATGTTCGTAAAAATTCCAAACGTTCCTTGCAAGCAAGCTATTTGCATGACAAGGCACTGCAAACTCTATACAGGGGAGATGATAGAGTTTCAAAATTTTACAATTGCTCCAATAAACCAGTGAATGCAAGCAAGGAGTGATTAGTTTCAGAGTGTTGCACTGTCTTTCTTTTGAGTGTACTCCTACGTTTTTGTGATTTTCTGTGTGCAAAAGTTTTTGTGAGCCATGAAGCATGCAGTCTACTTCCGTTTTTACGGAATACTTCTGTAATGCATCCTAACCTATATATATATTGTGTATATGTAAGTAAAATGCATAGAAAAGTTTTTTTTACGAAATAACCACTCATTTGAATTTGTTTTTCGAACGAACGTATCCACTTAAAAGTCTACTTTTACCCTAATGTTAGTACTCCCTGTTATTTATTAGATGCATGCTTATTAACATATTCACCAATGCATGATGTCATCATTTGCTATTAAAGTGCAGTTGTTATTCTGACTAATTTTATGCTATGTGACTGTAAATAACTATCTAAATAACTTGTAATATCTTAGAAATTCCTATCTCAAAAAATCGTTTCGTGTCCTTAGCTTAAAGCTAAGCCATTAGGCATTAACGTTGTCCTCAACAGATACCCATGTGTGATCTATCTGGCATGACGGCACTAGCACATTATTATTATTACGCTTTCCTTCAAACTTTTAGTTCTTGGCCGCAATGAAGAATTTTGACACAAATAAATTATGCAAACTAACTATAAATACTGACAAACACTTTTAGGATCTTGGTTTTAGAAGAAGCTTCACGATTTCCGAGCTTATAGTGATAAAATAAACTATTCGAGGGGGCAAATTTCCGGGGGAGGGGATATTTCCTAGGAAATATGTCCCCCAGGGGAGGGGGGAGGGGCAAAGTTTGGGGGGGGGGGCAAATTTCCTGGGACACTGGCTATATAGTGACTATAATTAAAGTTGAATTTTATAAGATAAACTGTTCCCTAACCCCAAAACCTCCCCTAACCCCTAACCTAACCTTTTGAGAGTTAAAAAGGTGGAGAAAAAGTTGAAAAAATTTTAAGAAAAAAACATGCTAAGTCAGACGTTAAAAACACAACCTGACCCCGGCTGGGTTTCACTTTCTGCACGCAGCACCTTTGCCGTATGCGCTAACAGCAAGTTTGGTAAAATTAGTGCAAACAAATGTTTTTATATGTAACTATAGTCGTATTATAAAGATTAATGCCCAGCATAACGTACGAAAGAGAGCCATATAGACAAAAATATAGAAATAAAATTTCTATATTTTTGTCTATATGGCTCTCTTTCGTACGTTATGCTGGGCATTAATCTTTATAATACGATTACGATTCCCGCCTGGTTCATCACTTGCAAGTAACTATAGTCATTATATAGCCGGCAGTTTACTAGACAGCTGGCTGCCGGCATCTAGTCACTTTGTTCAAAATTTATGAGCACACTTGCTGAGATGTCTCATCGATGTCTCAATCAATTCCATGGTGCCCTCCCCCTGGGAGTTTGTTGAGCATTTTCAACTGTACTTGTTCCCAGGGTCGGGCATTTGCTTTCAAGTAGAAATGCTTTCATTTTTCTGAGTTACCATTGTGTATTTCGGTTTGCTGGATGGAAAATAGTGCTAACTGTTTCGTTAATGTTCTTTGAATATTTTTGGTCAAGAAACAATTAGTTGGTTTCATAATATAGTAAATCACTGTTGTTTTGTTACTTTGTTTAGGTGTATACAGGACCTTATGTCAGGCCTTCAAGCGTAACACATGTAGATGAAATTTGGGGGCATGTTGTTGTCGGAGGATTTGTGGCTGTATCACTTCTTGGGTATGACAAGACACCAGTTATAGGCAAAGTCATCGAAAAATCTCAGGATAAGATATTAATAGAATACTGGAAAGGCTCGTGGAATAAAAAATGGCAGCCATGGAAAGAAAGGGGCCAACTATGGACTGACGAACTTTTGAAAGACTGTATATATTTAACAGCATTTGAGTTGCAGGACTCGAAACTTCATCCCGAAACAAAACGGCAAATGAGGGATTTCATGTCTCGAGAAAGAAATAAACAATGAATTAATCCTGTAGTTGTGCCAGTACATAATAATTGCATGTAAGGCACTGTCGCGTTTACTAATATTCAGTGTGGTATACTATTACTAGATTCAGCCCCCCCCCCCCTTTCACCCACCTCCACCCCGTACACATCTTTTCTCACAACTTGTTAGATTAGTATAGTATACCATGCTAACCTTTGAGTTTGGCTCTGCAATTTTTATTCTGCAGTCAACCTTTGAGTTTGGCTCTGCAAATGCAGTGCCAACTTGTTAGATATTCTGCAGCCAACCTTTGAGTTTGGCTCTGCAATTGCAGCGCCAACTTGTTAGATATTCTGCAGCCAACCTTTGAGTTTGGCTCTGCAAATGCAGCGCCAACTTGTTAGATATTCTGCAGTCAACCTTTGAGTTTGGCTCTGCAAATGCAGCGCCAACTTGTTAGATATTCTGCAGCCAACCTTTGAGTTTGGCTCTGCAAATGCAGCGCCAACTTGTTAGATATTCTGCAGCCAACCTTTGAGTTTGGCTCTGCAAATGCAGCACCAACTTGTTAGATATTCTGCAGCCAACCTTTGAGTTTGGCTCTGCAAATGCAGCGCCAACTTGTTAGATATTCTGCAGCCAATCTTTGAGTTTGGCTCTGCAAATGCAGCGCCAACTTGTTAGATATTCTGCAGCCAATCTTTGAGTTTGGCTCTGCAAATGCAGCACCTACTTGTTAGAAATTCTGCATGTAAGCTTTCTCTGTATTCCATGAGAAAATGCAGTCATTGGGAGTTTTATTCGGCAAAAGTCTTTCGATCTTTGAGCAACTAGTGCACAGCAAACATCCTGCCCTACAGCAAGCTGATAATCAATCCTGCCCAATAAACCAGACCGCATTGTACCAATGTTTGTTTCAAGAAACCTTCGAAACACACAATGCGTTTGAAGATGTCAAGGCCCTTCGAAACATTTTATTTCACTCCAATTTGCAGCTCTCAGAAGAGTTTATTGTCAACCATTGTAAGCCGATTTCTTGTGATTATGCTCTGGAAGATTTACAGTATTTAGACAAACGACACGAGATCTTGAAATCCATGGAATACAAGCTATACAATCCAACGGGCGATGGAGTAATAACAAAGAGCATGGCGGAGAAAATCGCGGGCAGTGGTTTAACGTACAATGATCTTTCAAAGCTGTTCAAAGACTTTGGTAAACCAGGATTGATTTCCATCCTATCCGCGAAACCTCCAACAAAGAACGAGAGACGACTCAGAGTGACAAAAACTGCTCGAATTCGTGCTGCAATACAACGGCATTTCGAAGCAAAACTTCAAGCACATTTCAAGCCGTGAAGCAATCACAATAAAAACCACACGCGGTCTTGCGTGATAATTTCACTCACGCGAACATGTCGAATCGATAATTTGTCACGTCAACGCTGGCCGCGCAGATAGAAAAATAGAAATTACAGGGGTTTCCTTCGGTGAAATTTTTTCAAATTTTGTAAATTGAAGGAATATAACATGCTCTGCAACATATTACATTTTCAAAAAAATTCATAATACAAAACTATTTCAAGCTAATAAATTCTGTAGCGAAGAACCCCCCTTGACAACCCTATTTCATATTTACATATGTTTTAGAATATTAAAGAATGAACTTGCTTGGAAATTTTGGAAAAAATTCACCGAAGGAAACTCAAAATAATCAATATTAACTGCCATATTTTCAAAAAGAAGCTAAAGTTCAAACATCATTGTTGCCATGACAACACCATATTTGTACAATATTTTTTTAAATTTTAAGAGATTAATACCTCTGTTATTGTAATATTTGCTTCATGTATTCAAGATAACATTTAAATGGCCATATTAACTCAATAAATAATGACCACTTAAAATACCTTGAAACTTCTATAACTGTAGGGAGCCACCTTAATACTCATTAGTTCCACACTACCGCCACAGATGAGGTAGGTACAGATGTGAATCTTCCGTCAAATTGCTGATTGTTTTGTGTCACACGGAATTCTCACTTCCGGTGAGCGCTGGCAAGTGTCGTTCTGAAATTTAATAAGGAAAGAGATAGGAAAACGCCGTTCGAAAGACGAAAAATTGTTTTTCTAAAAAATCTACGCTACCGACAGCTATTTTTGGAATTAATTCTTCAAGAGTATCGGTAAGCGATCACTTTTATTGATTTCTTTTTATCAAAAGTGTTGACATAACATTTTATTGGCAAAAGTTTGTTTTTTTCCCTATCTATTCCTTATTAAAATCGTGAAATACACTTGCTGGGAATTTCAGATGCTCATGTATAATAACAAAACAGCGAATGATATAAATTCCTCAAAACATAACTCTGGCATAAAAAAACATGAATACTTCTACAATATGTATAGTTTTATTTCTCTGCATTATCAAAATTTAATAAAATAGTGAATTAATACAATTTTAAAGTTTATTTAATCGGTGTGACATAATTTGCCGTGAGATTCACATCTGTATTTACCTCATCTGTGCTACCGCTCAGGAAACAAAGAAATACGTTTCGGTACGATTGAAGTGGAAAACTAGTACTGTTGTTTTAGTCAACTAGAACTAAAACCCTATTTTAGTCGTGCCAAAATAATTTAGTCAACTAAAACTAACTAGAACTAAATAAAATAAACAGATAAATACTAAAACTAAACTAGAACTAAAGCGATTTAAGAGATAAAAACTAGAACTATACTAGAACTAAAGCAAAATCAGCAGCAAGTACTAGAACTAAACTTGAACTAAAAGCAAAATTACCACCCATGACTAAAACTAAATGACAGAATTTAATTAGTCAACAGATTGTATGTTTAATTGTTTATGATCTATTTTTTTAAATATACTCGAGCCTTCGACGGGACTTTGTACATGATCGTAAACTGTCGACTCTGCCTTCCGCCTATGATTTTATACTTCCTGCTCCTGGAAAACCGAAACAATGTTTTCGAAACCTTGACCCTGGTTTACATTGGGTTATTTATAAATAAACTTGTCTTAGTTTGTATAGTCATGCCAGGCTACAGGTCAATAAAGCAATTTTGAAATAAGCAATTGCTGATTTTGAATATATAATATTTGCATGGTCTTTCCTGGCCTAGTAGTGGCCTTTATACAAACATTTTCGTACATATTTGAACCACAGAAAACTAAAACTAAATGTTTGCTTAGCTAGGACTAAACCAGAACTAAAATAAAATTCCTCTTTCGAACGCGAACTAAACTAAAACTAAAATAAAATTTCTGTTTCAAACTAGAACCAAACCAACACTAAAAAGAAATTCCTTTTTAAAACTAAAACTAAACTAAAACTAAACATAAATTACTGCATTAAACTAAAACTGAACTAAAACTAAATTGAAAACACCGTACTAAAACAACACTAAAAACTGGTCGGGTACGGTAAAGACTAAAGTGTCTGTAAAACAGTTGAACATTGCTGATAGATCCATAGTCGATGTTAAATACGTATAAAGTATTAAATTGCTGTAAACAAAGCTATAAACTATTCTTCGAGGCTGTTGAAGTCGAAAAAGATCAAAGGACGCCTCAGGACGCGTTCCTGGCTTGAATCTTCCTCTCAACAATACGTCTATCACGTGCTAATTGCCATACCATATACAGAAGACTAGTTTTCAGGACCTTCGCTTCATACGATTTGAGGAGTCTTGCGTAGATATCAGGGAAACAGGTGGGCAATTTGTCAACGCTGACCAAAAATAGCGGCTCATTTCTTCTTGAGTTGCCATTTTCGCGTCGAAGAGCAAAAATATAGACTTTCAGAGAATATTTTAGCTGTTTACTATCAAATATGTTTGTGAAACGGTTGATAATCTCACTGAGGAAGGTCGACGGTTTCTGAAAAGCTAAAGTACGTCGAAATCAGCGTTGGAATAGACTATATTTTCACCGGGGAAACATGAACTAAATGGATATTTACATCAACACTAAATTTCGCTCGTGCCTACAGAGCTAGTTGGATTAAAACAGATGTTAAGAAGTAAAAAATGTGAATTTTGTGAATTATACTTTCATTAAAGTGTTTCAGAAGGGCTGATAATGTCAAACTACATGTGTGACAGAGCTGTCAGTATACCCATATTTCAATGTTAATTTATGTTGAAATGGCCCATCTTCTTTGAGGTATAGCTTAAAAATTAGGGTATGCTCATCACTTGAAACTAGCTTTAAATCAAAGTTTTATCTATAGTCTTCTTATTAGAATTGAAATCATTCATGGGAAAAATGTGCCAGAGGGTTAAAATTGCCCATGTAAATGTACACTATTTTTTATATGTTTGGGTTAGTATTTTGAAAAGGTGTTCTGGAAGGAAAATATGTCTTGAACAATAGTGGTTGACCCTTAAATTATAACTAGTGTTACGTAAATCACAGAAAATTGAAAAAAGGCTGGTCCATACACAATAGTTCGGATTCTACGAGGTCCCGAATGCGGCTTATTTCAATGTTTAATCTGTTTACCTGGAAAAACATAGAAAATTGAATAAGTCAAGAATTTGACTATGCTCATCACCCCAAACCAGGTTTTTCTAATTGCTTTTTCACCTGGGTTTGTGGCAATACCAGTTATGCGACCATAAAAAATGCGCACACACTTTTTTTTGGACACTGAAGATGACAACATTTGATGTTGTTATATATTGCCATCCTCTTGTCATAGTATAACTTATTTTAGTGGGTTTGTTAAAGAATTGTGCTCACTATATGCTTGTAGTATCTAAGATTTTTTTCATAGCATCAGATGATAAATTTAAGTTCTGTTTTCTTTTCTTTTTAGGTGATAGTATCTTGTTCACATGTGTGTTGGTATCAAATTTTGCACAAGATTAAATCATTATTTCGTATTCCTTTATTGAAATATCCAAATAAATGGAATATTACATCAAACTGGAGTACTAAATCCTGTTTCCAAACTTGTTTTTGTAAAAATAGAAAATAACAAGTTACTATGTGTTGTTCTAATAAAAACTATGGTTTTTGATATGCATATTTAATTTTTGAAATTACATTTCATTCTTTGTTAAAATGTGTACCAGGAATACTGAAATCTTTCAGATCAGCTAACAATACCTTTGTAACTTATAAAGCCAAGTCTTCTATCTATTTCTGTTCAAATTAAACAAATGATGGGTAAAATATTAGATTAGATTTTTGCAAAAATATGAGCTTGCCTGTTTTCAAAGCATAAAAAGCAATAAAATAAAGCAAAAGTACTTATTTTCAATATAAAACCTTTGGAATGCATAGCTTAATGTTTTCCATTAAATATTACAAAGTTTTCGTTCATTAAAATGTTGTTTTATCAGCTTTAAAACCAGATAAATTCATGAAACACTCCTAATATATGTCGCCATATTGATTTTCTTCGCGCATGGACCCCTAAAATGGTACATTGACCGAAATTATTTGGACCCCTAAAATGGTACACTGACCGAAATTATTTTTTTGGCACTGGTCGGGCACAATCCGAAAAAGTAGGGCAAATTTCTTTCTGCCCCCCTAATTTCTTCCTTCCGGTACGCCCATGGTACGAGGCTATTGACGAGAAAACATGGCGGCTAGAAATATTTCGTGTTTATATGGCTGATCTAAATGATTTTCATTGTGATTACTGCAACTTTGTATGTTGCAGTGCTGACAGTACATTATTTTTTTCACATTTGGTAAAGTTTCACTCAAATGAACCAAATTTTCAAGTATATTGTCGTTGCTGTCCAAGATCGTTTAAGAAGGTAAACACTCTTCAAAAACATTACACACGAAAACATAAAAAACTTGGAACTTGGACAAGAACCAAATCTTGGGGAGGAAGAGACCGAGGAGTTCGAAGAAAGGGCAGCTCAAAGTGAATTGCAATGCCATGCCGCCAAGTTCCTTCTGTGCGCAAAAGCACAAGGAAAGCTTACAAAGTGCCATGGATTTCATCAAAGACTCGACGAAGAATCTACTTGGAGAGTATTTGGACATAGTAAAAAAATCCCTCATCGCTAAAATATGTGAGACTGGGGATCACGAGTTTCAGTTTTCTCAGGACATGGAAGAATTGTTTTCCTCAGATGATGGTCTTTAATGGCTTGGATTCAGCTTATGAGCAAGGATCCTACTTTTTGAAAAATTTTAATCTGGTGGTAGGTGCTTTTTACAGTTGTTATAGGATACATCAATTGATTACTACATATGTACACAATGGGTTTACCTAACTTGTATCTAGAACTAAAGTATTAAAAGTGATAGGTTATTTGACTGCCTTGCCGCTCACACCAGCTAGGGCATGTAAATATTTTACTTCCACTGATAAAACTGATGTTTATTGACAGTGATGATTTGTTATAATAATTTTCTGTGCCTCGACACCAGGCATCCATAAATGATCGATGGTTATATACCAAGTAACATGCCAAGTCAAGGTGACTTTGCCAAGGCTAAAGATAAATGAGGATATATGAAATTGATTTACATTTTATATTTGCAGGTACCTGTGGAAGTAGAGATGGGGAAAGAATGGAAGCGCGTTTTTTTCAGGAGGAAGGAAAAAACTGAAGCGTACTAGCATACTTGGTTACCAAATTCCATTATTAAAGAGCCTAGAGGTAAAAGTACTAAGGGAATGAAACACAAAATGAACATACTAAGGAAATGAAAAACAAAATTGATTGTAGACTTGTTTGATGTCTAATAGAGTCATTAAACTGCTATTCCCATGATGCTTTGGCTGCATTTTAAGATATCTTTATAAACCTTGACTGGCAATGTGCACACATGCATCCGACTTTGATTTTTTACCCTGTCTAACACCAGATGACAGAGAGTCTTGTCATTTAATTAGTATGTTAAAATTAACTGGCAAAGAAATATAGCTACCGTAAACCTCTGTATATATGCACCCCCCTGCAAATATAAGCTCCCCATGTGTATATAGGCCCATCATGTTCACTAACAGCATTCCAAATTTTAGTCCCCGCGCCTCCCCTCCCCCCCAAATATAAGCCCTCCCATTTTATTATAAGCCCTCCCATAATTATAAGCCCTCCCATATATATTATAAGCCCTCCCATATATATTATAAGCCCTCCCATATATATTATAAGCCCTCCCATATATATTATAAGCCCTGCTCTTATATACAGAGGTTTACGCCATTAATTGTATTGTTTGGTAAGGTCTATTGAGAAACATATAACTATAGATTATTTAGAAACAGACGATAGTTGGTTTGAAAAGGAATTTAAATCTAAAACTAGGGGTGCACCGGAACTCAGTTCCGGCCGGTTAGTTCCGGCCGAAACCCCAATTTTTCAGAGTTCCGGTTCCGGCCGTAACTAATAAAAAAGCATGGCCGGAACCGGAACTCTGTCGTTTTTAGAGAGATAGAATATCAAGTTTATTTATTGAATAATGTCCAATATTTATTGGACTACACAAGGAAAATGTACACTATTAACACTTCATTATGACATTTAACGTTTGTCAATCTTTTTCTAACAATTGCGAGCTCTGTCCTCGATGACTTGAAGCGTCTGCCTGTCTGGCAGCAGACAAAGTAACATATGACTATACATGGCTTCATAAATCAGTTCCGGTTCCGGCCAGAACCTTTTTCCAGTTCCAGCCGCAACTTTTAAAAATTGGTTCCGGTGCAACCCTATCTAAAACAGTGTTATCCATGGAGTAAGAAGTATGGTATGTCATGGCCTAATGAGTTAACATTTACAAATTTTATCTCATAGGCCCTTCTTCGAAATCCTGATATGTTGAAGGAAGTTGATAATCCTCATTGTTCTGGTGTTCTTCGTGATGTTATGGATGGTGAATTTTTTATGAGTCATCCTATCTTCTCTTGTCATAAAGATGCCCTTCAGTTATTTGGGTATTATGATGACCTTGAAATAGCCAATCCTTTGGGCTATATATTTTAACATATTGTCATATAATTATCATTCAGAACTATTCTATAATTATCATTCAGAATAGATAGTTCATAATTATTGAATTATCTTGGCTTTTTAGGTGTCTTCTACTTTCTACTGGGCAATATCCGGCCTATATTTAGGTCAACTGTTCGCAGTATTCAACTCATAGGTATTGCAAAAACAAATGACATAAAGAAGTATGGGATTGATAGTCTTCTTGAGCCTTTCATCAAAGATGTTAATACTTTAGCTAAGGTATTATATGATTTGGACTATATGGGTACAAGAAGTATAAGCATGCCATTGTTAATGAATTAACTCATTTACTGGCAATGCACCCCCATATTCTTTCAGTCTGTTTTCCACCATGAATGTTTTTACTTATCAAGGGGAGATTGCTCAACCTAATGCCAAATAATTTTACTTATGGAGAGAATGGATAATTATTAATTTAACATGCGATCACTCAGTGAACAAATAGCAAGAGCATATAGAGTAATAGCACATGACCTAAGCACGGCAGTTCTTTTGGAGGGTATAGCTCTGTTGGAGAGGATGCACGCTACGTTTAGCAAGGCTGCAACCACAAACAGAAGTCAATTTGGCTGTCAAGTAGGTACTCAAGCTACCGACCAACGACTATCCCGGCTTGGCAAATCCCAATGATGCCGAGAATTCACCTCTCCAAAGACAGAACTATTGTCACACAAAGTGGAAACCAGAATACAAAAACGAACAAAAAAACACACAAATACTTACCCAAGTGACGGATCATACAACACCAAACAATAAATAATACTCCCTGACAAAGCAAAGATAACAATACCATAGCTGAAAAGAATGAAAAGCTCTGCAACGCAGGACGTGACTACAAAATTAAGCAGATTAGTGTTAAAACCAATTTGAGTAACAAGGGGAATAATCATCCAGAATAGCTGGAGGTATGCCCGCGAGCGGGCGCGGCAAGTAAGCACAACGAAAAAATATCCAACAGGACAACAATTGGCGTAATCAACAGTGCACCCCCAGAATACGAGACGTAACAACATAAAACGCAAGTATTACATAGACTATGAGAACAAAGAAAAGTGACTGAACACAATAAGCTACCCAGGGGTGCGCCTTGATTGTCGGCCAAAACAATACATTACAGTACTCCAATTAACGATACAGGCACCTCTGGTCAGCAGCGACCAGGAAACGCTGATACTAATATATTTACCCAGACCTCCGCTGGTTTGCAATAACTGAAAGCATAGAATGTAAAGCAACCCATAGAAGCCAACAGGAGCAGTACAGACACAGGCACCTCTGGTCATCAGCGACCAGGAAACGCTGATACTAATATTTTTTACCCACACTGCCGCTGGTTTGCAATAACTGAAAGCATAGAATGTAAAGCAACCCATAGAAGCCAACATAAGCGGGCAGACACTCCCAGCAAGCAGGTTAGCACCAGCAGCACCCCCCAAGAAAACCAGTGCAAACAAGCAATGATCTCCCAAAAAAGGGCAGGGTGGGTGGGGACGTTGTGAACTTGAAGGTCTGCAAGCAATGAGCTATACCTGTGAGCTCCACAGCTTAAATAATTTCGGTAAACCCGCATAATAACTAATATGAATATATAATTAATATATACATAAACAACACACACACATTCGTTCTCGAAGTTAATTATTTTTATTGCATAAAATCATATAAATTTATTCAAAAGAAACCAAAACAGTTTCAGTTCTTGTTTCAGGTTAATGGACATTGTTTTAATGTAAATGATACCAGAAGAGTTTTCTGTGGTGATCTCTTGCTATGGACCGGCGATACCCTGGGTAGTAACCATGTAAGTGGCTTTAAGGAAGGTGCTGGCGGGGCTTTCAGGATTTGCAGACACTGTATGGGAACAAGGGAAGAATGCAACAATAAGGTGAAATTTTTGTGTCATTAATTTAATATTTTAGACTTTTAATTTTAGTTTTAATACTCTTTCTATACTTTGCACCTTATGAGTTAAACCATTGACTTGCAATGCAGGCAATTTTACTTGTCAAGGGAGCAGTCATGCAATTTGGTGCCAGAAAGTATAGGGTGACTTGGGTTCCCAGTCAATGGGTTAACCAATTGAGCAAAATATATGGTGATGAGACAGATCCGCCCTGAATGTATATAACATATAAGTGTGTATGACATGAAATTTCTTATTTTCTTAAATGAAAGAACTCTTTAAGCTGTACTGTAACTGATTTTTTAGTTTCTTGTTTTTATTGTTTGTTCCCGAGATATTTAAATTTGTTTGATATGTAAATGAGTGTGAATATGTCCGCTAATTTATGATGTCACGTTGGTTGCAAGCTCAACTTACACATCTATAAACTACTTATAAACCTATAAACTGTAGATATCATTTCACGTTTTTCTCCAGTGTTTTATCACATTTACCAGTGAGTGAAGTTTGAAATTATCATCTTGGATGATAGCAATGATATTCAACCATTTTGAGGAGCTTGCAACCAATGCGACGTCATAAATTAGGGGACATGTTCACACTCATTTACATATCAAACAAATTGAAATATCTCGGGAACAAACCATAAAAACAAGAAACTGAAAAATAAGTTACACTACAGCTTAAAAAGTTCTTTCATTCAAGAAAATAAGAAATATCATGTCATATGCACTTTAAATTCTATTCTCAGTCTAGCGTGAGGCGGTTTCTATAGAAAAAGCTGAAAACAGACCAAAACAACCCGAGTGAACCGGGTTTATTTTTAAATACGTTCGAAAATCGAAACTAGGTAAAAACTAGGAAACGAAGGTAAAAAAAAGACACAACACGCTACTCAGTACTCATGCAAGATATTAAGCGTAAGGTATGCGTAAGGTATTTTCAAGACGTTATTAAATTTCAAACAAAGTCTCTTTAGTTTTTAGTGTGTAAATGCCAAAACTTGATTAATTTGCAACAAACTTGTATAAGTTTTTTTTCTTCGTTTTCCCCCGGTTTTTTTTTTGTTTTTCTGGGGGTTTTCGGTTTTCGGTTTTTCTCCAAAAGTAACATTGAGTATTTCGGTTTTCAAAAAACATCAGGGTTTTTTCGGTTTACCGAAAAACCACCTCACCCTATCTCAGTCACTTATAGAGAATCTGAGAATGGCCAGAAAATCTTATCATGAACATTTTTGTTCTAGTTTCTTTCTGAAGAATTTCAAGAAAGAAATTTGACAAGCCACAGACGAATTTGTAGTTGCATTGAGGATAAAGATAATGCGAAAGACATCCGTGACCAGCTATCCACAACCTATGGAGTGAATCGTTTGAGCGTACTGAACAAGGTGGAACATTTTGATGTCTGCAAGTGCTTCCCGGAGGACATAATGCATATTTTATTAGAAGGTTTGGTACCATATGCATACCTGTCAAATGGAGCTAGGCTATGTCACATTCTCGTACCCAGATCCAGTCTTACATGCGGACAACAGAGCATGTCGAGGGAACGAGAATGGGTACCTAGCTTCTAAATCATTTTTGGAGTTAGACCTTTAGACTTTGGAGGTAGCGTCGCCCCATAACTTCCTACATCTTACAGGCATGGTACCATATGAAACGAAGCTACTGTTGAAAGAATTAATTGATGAAGTCAGATGTCTGACGCTGAGCAAACTCAATCACAGGATGGAGAACTTCGATTATGGTTACATGAACCGCAAAAACAAACCAACAACCATTACCAGAAAGACGTTGAATGGTTTAAATGACACAAAGCTTAAGCAAACAGGCATAAATACACTACTGGGAGCTGCCGCAGAGTCTATCGGTCTTAAGCAAATCATATTAAAATACTGCCAACCAAATTAATGTAACAACAACCATTTTAAGTTTCTTTGCAATTGTAAACCTTCAATAGTCCCTTAATTCTTTCTCAATTTTCTGATTTTAAATGTCTTGTATATTCCAGTAACACTCTATAATCCACATAACCTTAAAGTTAATGTACCACTGACAATCAAAGCACATTCTGTAAGCATAATCGGTGTCAATATAGTGATTCCAAAAATAATTAAGTATCCAATTGACCCAATATTGAGTTCTATGTGGTATCACTGTTTGAACTCTGAAGATGCAGAAGATCTTTCAACATCTGCAAGACTGCAACCATCCCTGCATGAAGTTTAAAACAAATTATTAAAATTAACTTGATGAATGTATCTATGACTTGATGACTAGTGACTACTACTACATAGTAACACAGGGGGTCCAACTAAGAGCTGTGTTATGAATATGAATAAAACATTAATTAAACGTAATATGAATAAAACATTATAACGTAATATATTTAAATTATTGCACTTACTTGTATAAATCATAAGAGCTTGCCTTTGCACTGAATAGTTTCAAACAGAGCGCTTATATATCAATATATATATGCTCAGAATGATTGCTTCGAAAGATTGTTCAAATATGGCGAATAAATTGACAAAACGAAAATATTACATGACGTTCCAACGAAAATAACAGCATGGATTGCGGGCGCACGAGCAAAAAGGCGAGGGAAGAAATAAATAGAAGGGATGAAACAAATATCACGTGACTTTTTAAAATGCTTCTAGACTATCCGTTTAAGCTTTTTGTCTGGTTTTTAAGGCTCAGTCGATGTTCTCTTACATGAACAAGCCTAGTCATTACCAAAAAAGCACTGATCGATTGATCGATTGCTTTAATTTATGTGATTTATAACAGCGAGCATTCTTGGCCATTATCGCGAGATGTGTTCCATAAGTAGCCTGTTCTCGTGACGTATGACGAAATAATAATAAAACTAAATAATGTAAAAAAAAAACGTTGGTCGCTACATTTAAACATTTCATATTAGCCGGTATAGCTAAACATTGTTTATTTTCATTAATTAAGCGCTTAGGCGTTGTTGGAGTTGGCAGGAGGCGTTTTGGAATTTTCCGAAAGAACAGGCTACTTATGGAACACATCACACGATCGCATTACCGGTGTTTCATCCCTTCTATTAATATCTATTACCCTCGCCTTCCGCTCGCGCCCGCAATCCCTGCTGTTATTTTCGTTGGAACGTCATGTAATATTTTCGTTTTGTCAATTTATTCGCCATATTTGAACAATCTTTCGAAGCAATCATTCTGAGTATATATATAAAGCGCTCTGTTTGAAACTATTCAGTGCAAAGGCAAGCTCTTATGATTTATACAAGTAAGTGCAATAATTTAAATATATTACGTTATAATGTTTTATTCATATTACGTTTAATTAATGTTTTATTCATATTCATAACACAGCTCTTAGTTGGACCCCCTGTGTAATAACGCGTCGATGCCAAATGTTAATTCTGTCTCTTAGAATATATTAGCATATTTGTATCTTAATAAATACCTATGGTCTGTTTTCACGACGCGTATTTCGATTTATCATGGACGAATATGAAACGATATTTGTGATGTGTATAAATCGTTCGATGTATGAGTTAGTACTAGGTGTTGTATTTCGGTATAAATGTTATTAGTTAACAGTCAGTTTAATAACACAAGATGGATTTATAATTTGCAATTTATTGTCGAGTATATGAATCATTGTATCAATACTAAAGTGACAAAAATAGAAATTATTTATATTATTCAACAGCACAAACAACAGACTTGTGTGAATGTATGTAATATGATATTATAAGATATGGCGACAGTGCAGTAAAAATAGTTTAGAATTCCAATAGTCAAATTTGTAGGGATGCAACTACCTGAGAAAAATATAAGGTAGTTGCATCCCTATAAACGAATATCATATATTATTATTGGCACTGCTAACTTACATGTACACTGACTGTCACTGGCACAGAGAGTTAAAAAAATTGTCAAATGAGGTTGTTTGTATACAGCTGTTAAACCCAGCCCTGGTGCCGATATGGTCCATTTCACCAAGATGTGGTGTTAAGTTTGTGATTTGCTATAAATTAATGTGAACCCCAAACCCATGGCTCTCCCTTGATGTCGAGTGAAATCCTGAAGGC